GACGAAGCAGGATGTGCGCGCCCCTACACCCGCAACACCTACCCCAAGGAGATTGACACGGCTTGGAAGGACCCTGACGCAAAAGAAGAGCTGAGCGTCAAAGACGAAAGAGACAAGGCCAAGGCAGAGAAGAAGCAGAAACTGTACGAGGAACGCGTGGCGGCAGGATGGGACGAGGAGTCGGCACGACATGGCGCATGGGGAGACAACGACTCCACGTCCGAAGAAGGCGCAACCTGGGGATCCGCCACTGGTGCTTCGGGCACCGTTCAAGGATGGGGACCTAGCGCCAGTGGCATGGTTACCACAGGAGGATGGGGGCTCTACGGAAACTGACGAAGGAGAACTGACACAAGAAGAATTGGAGGAAGCCGAACGGGAGCTGAGAGCTGAGCGCGGAGAACAATCCCCACGAGTCACCGTTCCGCTCGGACGACCCCCGCGCAACCGCTCACCTCCCCGCTCACCTTATCGATGGAACGATCCTTGGTCGGAGATTGAGGAGGGAAATGTGCCGTCAACTCCTCCGCGTGACTCACTTGGTCCAATCTCCCGCCCTGATCATTCACCCGCTTCATCGAGGGCACAAGGACACCGCTCAACATCATCCCCGACCGCGAATTCCTCGCACTCTACCTCACGACGGCACCTGCAGAAGGGGAGGCTGCAACAGAAACAGAAGTAGAAGCAAAGGAGCCGGACAACGAAGCAGAACCAGAAGAAGAGGAAGAACCCCTACTCCAGATCTCGCAAGAAATGGAGGCGGAAGAAGCAGAGCATCATGCTCGCTATATGCGCACCAGCGGCATTCGCGCCGAAGATGATCTCTGGAACCAGAGGCTCGGCCACCCCTCGCGCCAGACTCTTGCCAACTGTCTCCGCGCCAAGGCTTTTCTCCCAGGAGCACTACTGCGCCCCGATGGCACGGAACCTCACAACACCCCACATCCAGTCACCTGCACCGTTTGCCCCACAGCCGCCCTCTCTCACAGTGCGTACCCCTCTCTGGAGCCAAGCACCAACCGCTACAAAAAGCTGCAATTGGTGTACAACGACTTCATCGTTCTCACCTGCGACGGCATCAACGGCAAAAAATACACGCTCACCTTCATCTACGCCTACTCACGCCACATCTGGATTGCCAACGTCGATGCTTGCTACAAGGCTCCAGGAGACTTCCGCATCTAGTTCGCACATGCGCAACGGCAATTGGGGAGGAAGCTGAAAATCTGGCAGAGCGACGGGCCAAGGAATTTCGCAGCTACAAACTGGAGAACGTCCTCACTGAGGAGGGGATCAAAAGCTCCCCTACGCTCACCAGCAGCAAGGCGTCGTAGAGAGGGTTAATTGCATCCTCATGATGAAAGTGCGCGCCCTCATGAACCAGTCCGGCCGACCCAAGAAGCTCTGGCCTTACGCCATGAATCACGCGGTGCGACTGCACAACCTCCTCTCCACCACTGCCAACAAGGACAACCTTTCCCCGCACATGAAGTGGACCGGCTAACGGGAGACCCCTCCGTGCTGAGGGTTTGGGGGTGCATGGTTCGGTATCTGCCGACCTCAGCCACAATTGGCAAGTTCGCTCATCGCGCGCACTGGGGAATTCGTCTGGGACTCAGTAACGAGCACAAAGGTTGGCTCATTCTCGACATTGACAGCAAGGAAATTGTCCCCACGCGTGACGTTCTCTTCTACGACGAACATCGCAATGAAGCACGCCCACTGCTGACATGCAGCGGTAGCAGCACTGCACCACGACGACGCCGACGAGCATCCCAGCATACCGCCTCGCCCACGCAATGACGACGACGACGATGACAGTGACGACGCTCCCGCGCCAGCACCATCACGGCGCCAAGCCGAGCCAAGCTCCACCTCACCCGGCTACGAGAGCAGCGATGATGATGTGGTGGAAGGCACCACCACCACCACAGACACCACCACCAACGTGTCCGGCCTGCAGCTACTCGGCCTACACAGGTTCGTCACTACTCTCGCGTGCGCTGTCGAACCCAAGAACCCGCGTCAGGCCCTTACCGGCCCTCACGCCAAGGAGTGGCGTGCTGCCATAAATGCGGAGCTAAAGGCGCTGGAATCTCACGACACATGGGTCCTAGTCGATCGTGCAGCAGTGAAGGGGAGGAGGGTGCTCAGCGGAAAATGGGTTTTCCGCCTGAAGACTAACGCCGACGGTACCATAAAGCGCTTCAAATCACGATGGGTCGTACACGGGTACGATCAGCGCCACGGCATCGACTTCGATCAAACCTTCGCTCCCGTCACCCGTCATACCTCGGTCAGAATCCTACTCGCCATAGCCGCCGCTAAGCATCTGCCACTGCGACAGATCGACGTGAAGAACGTGCTCTTATACGCGTTGGTGGACGCAACCATCTTCGTGGAGCAGCCACACACCTACGGGGAAGGAGATCCTAGGGTCTGCCAGCTGAAGAAATCCCTTTACGGGATAAAGCAGGCGCCTCGCCTCTGGCAGCAGCATCTGCACAAAATTCTTCTGGAAATCGGCTTCAGGCAGTTATCGCACGACCCGGGAATGTATTGACTTCACTTCAACGGCGACTACATTCTCTTGATCGTCTACGTCGACGACCTGCTGTACACAGGTACCTGCAACAAACTCCAGTGGAGGAAAATCTGGCGCAGCGCATCGACATTACCATCAACCACAACGTCAAGCAGTTTATGGGCCTGAACATCACCTACGCGCCAGAAGCAATTCACCTATCAGCCTCCAAGTACGCAGAGCAGCTGGGGGAGCGCTTCAACATTTCACCTGCACCACTCTCAACTCCCTATCGCAACCCCAGTGCCAACTACAAACCGGACAACAAACCTCTGTCCCCTGCGGGACTTCAACTGAACCAGCAGCAACTGGGTTGCCTGCTGTTCGCATCTGTCACCTGCCGACCCGACCTCTCGTACATCGCCAGCCAACTGGCGCAGTACTCTCGCAAGCCAGTAACTGAGAACCAGCTGGACCTGGAGCGCGCCCTACAGTACTTCATTTCTACACCTGACATCGGGCTCTCCTACTCGACGCTGACGACGACTTTCTTCAACCTCAACGGCTACGTGGACGCAGATCATGCCGCTAATCCTGCGAATCGACGGTCCCGAACCAGCTTTGTCTTTTGTCTGGAACCAACCGGACCAATCTCCTGAAACCCACATAAGCAAGAGCTAGTTGCCCTGTCGTCGGCTGAATCAGAATACATCACCGCGACAGCAGCAGTTCGCGAAGGCCTGTAACAGCAGAAACTGCTATAGGAAGCGAAAATTCCCACTTCGCCTACCTTTTGCCTCCACCGCGACAACCAGAGCGCCATCAAGATCGCGAACAAGCCGGGTTTCGTGAACCGCACGAAACACATTGCACTTCGGTACTTTTTTGTCAAAGACGAAATTGACCAGGGGAAGGTCGACCTCGCGTACTTCCCAACCACCGAGATGGCAGCCGATTTCCTTACCAAGCGACTGCCACGTCAGTAGCACAAACACTGCTCTGAACTCACCGGAGTAGTCAAGCGAGTCAGCCCCTTATGCACCCAGAAATGAAGGGGAGTGTTACGATATGAAATCATATGAGAAGGCATTCCTGTATGCTGCAGGAGCCGACTCTACCGAGTACGAAGTCGAGGAGTCAGAAGAGTCGAAGGGACACAGCAACCGTCTGACCAAGACCGATGCAGGCAGAAACATTTGAAATGAAAAGAGCGGGAACAGGTTTGAAACGGGTTCCCGTGCCGCAGGGTTTGAATTCGCTGCAATAAGGGAATGTACCCCTTAGAATACATGGCTAGTCTAGGTCTTTTCGTATTCCCTCGTATTCTTATATAAACCCGATGTATGCATACTAATATAATCTCAGTCATTTACATTCACTCTGACCTGAGTTCACTAATTCTGCTGCAACACTACCCTGCGATCAACCCTGAACAATCCTTCGCTAAGTTCCACTTGGATTGTAACAAAAGACACTATGAAATTTCAGCTTTTTTTTTATGCCAACTCTGAGAGTTTCAGACTAAAACTGTGTACTAGTCTGACGAATCAGACATGCCAAAAACGAATCTGAGGGCCTGTTCACTGGGTTTGTCACCGATAATGCCACATTTTTTTCCACTTTTCTTCGAACCTCAAGAAAGTCCCTAGGATCTTAAACGCGAGAAATGACTGTACTAGTTAGCACTCTAAGTACAGAAGTGCGACATGTGGCCGTCATCACATCGTTTACGTTTGGGGTTTAAGAAAAACATATGCATAATACAAAGCATTATAATACAACTGCAAGTACAGACGAGACACATGAAGTGATAGATTGTTACGTGCAAAATCACTAACAAGCTACTCCACCAACCTCATGCGTAGAGGCATCCCATATTTAGGGGTGAGCGTGATTCCCACACTAGGCAGGTGTACATATGTGGGCGAGAGCTCCCATTGGAGACGCCTGAGCAAATGCGCAAGGACAACCTTGGCCTCTGTGAGAGCAAAGTTGGAACCGATGCAGTCCCGAGGGCCCGCTGAGAATGGCACAAAGGCCTGTGGGTGCGAACACGCTCCTTGTATGCCGTCTGGGGATTCATGGAGAGGGGAGGACGGGCGGGCAGGTCGGGGGATGAAGGGCAGTGGGAGGAGGAAGGGCAGTGCGGGGATGAAGGGCAGTGGGAGGAGGAAGGGCAGTGAGGGGATGAAGGGTAGTGGGAGGACTGAGGCAAGATAAGGCTCAGGGCGGAGAACCATGTGAGAACCCAGGCGGAGTGAGAGGACTGTGTGATGCGCCAGCTGAGCCGAGATGAAATTGAAGTGCATTTTTGGCAAACACTTGAACCCTATTTGCATACGCTCTTACTGAACTCTAAGTGCTCACATGAATTTGAAATGTGCTGAATAACCCCCCCCCCCCCCCCCCCCCACCTCAATCTCCCTCCCTCCCTTCCACCCCCCCTAGAAGCAGGTGGCGGGTGGGAGCATACCCTTGAAGTGCGCCGGGTTGAACTCGAGCGCATCCTCCCCCCAGTAGCGCGGGTCGCTGTGTGGCATGGCAAGTGACATCATGATGCGCGTGCCGGCAGGGATGGCGTAGGGGCCCAGGAAGACGTCCTGATGGGCACGGGGCCACGTTGGTGAGTGGGAGCATGCCGGCAGGAAGGCACGCGGCAAGGGAATGAGGAAAAGCCGCAGTGCGGCATGGCGAGGAACATCATGATGCGCATGCCCGCTGGCATGGCGAGGAACATCATGATGCGCATGCCTTCTGGCATGGCGAAGGGACCCAGGGATTCATCCTGGAAGGATGGAGGGAAGGCATGGGGGAAGGCATGGGGGAAGGCATGGGGGAACCATGGGGGAAGGCATGGGGGAAGGCATGGGGGAAGGCATGGGGGAAGGCATGGGGCAAGGCATGGGGGAACGCATGGGGGAAAGCATGGGGGAAGGCATGGGGGAAGGCATGAGGGAAGGCATGGGGGAAAGCATGGGGGAAGGCATGGGGGAAGGCATGGGGGAAGGCATGGGGGAAGGCATGGGGGAAGGCATGGGGGAAGGCATGGGGGAAGGCATGGGGGAAGGCATGGGGGAAGGCATGGGGGAAGGCATGGGGGAAGGCATGGGGCAAGGCATGGGGCAAGGCATGGGGCAAGGCATGGGGCAAGTCATGGGGCAAGGCATGGGGCAAGTCATGGGGCAAGGCTCGGGGGAAGCAATGAAGCCAGCAACGCTGTCCCTTACGTTTATACGTCATGAAAAGGATAGAAAGGCATGAGGAACGGATGGGAAGGGTGGCTATAAGGCATGGCAAGGTGCATGATGACGCTCATGCTAGCAGGGATGAACCATAAGAAACACAGGGGGGCTGAGCAGGTACGAAGGGGGACGAGACACAGGAGCCACGAGGCAGTGATGGAGAAACGATCTTTCTCACACTCCATCCATCGTTTATGTTCATGTCTCTTACCTTGCTGGCCTCCCGGGTGATGACAGGCGTGGGTGGGAAGAGCCTTAGTGTCTCGAGCAGAACCATGTGCATCTGCCTCAGCTGCGCCACTTGCTCCCATGTCACCTCCACTCCACCCACTCTCCCCTTGCCCCGTGCCCCTTCCCCTCCGCCCTCCTCCTTCTCCCCTTCCCCTCCGCCCTCCTTGGCCCCTTGCCCTGCATCCGCATGCTCCCCCATCACCTGCCACACCTCCTCCCGCAGCCTTTGCTGCCACTCAGGGAAGCGCGCCAGCAGGTACACGCCCCACGTCAGCAGCTTGGCTGTTGTCTCGTGGCCTGCCAGTAGTAGGGGTGGGAAGAGCATGGGAGTATGGGGGAACGGAAGCATGCCCCTCTATCTCTGACTCCTCTGCCACTCACACCAGCTCCTGTACCAGTCACTGTAAAACCATCACCGCATACCACCCATCACCTTGCGGCACCACGTTCACTCGCAGCATATCACCCCACATCGCCACACACACAGCACCATGACCCACCAGCATTGTTCACCACCCATCAGCAAACACTACCGCGCATCACCGCACACCACCGTATATCACCATAGCACCATCTCCACATGCACTCCGCCAGCACTTGTCATCAGCACCACCTGTGGCGGCGGCAGCAGCAGCAGGCAGCGACAGCAGCAATAGCAACAACAGCATCGGCAGCAATAAGGACGAATCTCTCACCTGCTGCAGGCCTGTCCTTATACCACACAACCACATTCCCTCCCATGCTCCACCACCACCCATCACCACCCAGCACCGTCCAGATCCGCATACCACCACCCACCATCACTCGTCACCAGAAAACGCCACTCGAAAGGAAGAAAGGAACCATGGGGAGAAAAGGAAGAAAGGAGGGGGGAATGGGGTTGGGGTTGGGAAGATGGGGGGAATCCTGCACATCACACGAAAGCATCCCTGCCCATGGTAGAGAAAAGGGACCATGGGGAGACGACGGGGGAAATTCTGCTCTGACACGCCAGCAGGTCCTTCCCTGGCTCGCCCTGAGGGATGCATGCGGCATGGAGGATGAGACATGGAGAGTGGGGCATGGAGCATGGGGCATGGGACATGGGGATTGGGCCATGGGACATGGGGATTGGGGCATGGGACATGGGGATTGGGGCATGGGACATGGGGATTGGGGCATGGGACATGGGGATTGGGGCATGGGACATGGGGATTGGGCCATGGGGCATGGGGCATGGGGTGTGAGGCACACGGCATGGGTGATGGGGCATGGGGGCATGGGGCGTGGGGAATGGAATACGGGGCATGAGTAATGGGACATGGGGCAAAAAAAATGGGGCATGGGGAATGATTCACGAGAATTGGGGCACAGGGAATGGCGGAAGGGAGATTGGGAGTTGCACAGCACCCGCCAGCATCACAACCAGCAGAATCTTACCCCGCTCGCCCTGGGGAGAGGAAGGAGAGAGGACACGGGGGAAGGAGAGCAGAAGGGGGGAGGAACGGGGGAAGGGGGGGGGGGGGGGTGAAAAGGGAAGTGCAGGCAGCAAGTGGTTGGACAGTCAGCACAAGCCAGTACCCTCTCTCCTCTCTGCTTGCTGCACCACTTGGTTGCTTCCCCACCTAATCCCCCAACCTCCCCCTCCCCCCTAAAAGATAAGCACCCACCGCTTGCTGCTGTGTGCACGTGGCAATAACGACCCTCCCAGAGACAGGCGCCTCACCCTCCCTACTGCTAGTTGTGACTCTCACGCCTCACCCTCCCTACTGCTAGTTGTGACTCTCACGCCTCACCCTCCCTACTGCTAGTTGTGACTCTCACGCCTCACCCTCCCTACTGCTAGTTGTGACTCTCACGCCTCACCCTCCCTACTGCTAGTTGTGACTCTCACGCCTCACCCTCCCTACTGCTAGTTGTGACTCTCACGCCTCACCCTCCCTACTGCTAGTTGTGACTCTCACGCCTCACCCTCCCTACCGCTAGTTGTTACTCTCACGCCTCACCCTCCCTACTGCTAGTTGTGACTCTCACGCCTCACCCTCCCTACTGCTTGTTGTGACTCTCACGCCTCACCCTCCCTACTGCTAGTTGTGACTCTCACGCCTCACCTGCCCCCCACTCCCTCCCGTTTGCCCACACACCAACCCAAGCAAGCACGCACTGCTAGCTGCTGTCTGCGCGTGGCAATGAGGTCGAGAGACAGGCGCCTCACCCTCTCCACTGCTTGCTGCATCTCCCGGTTCTCCTGCGTTGGCAGCCAGCTGCACACATGGGGGAGGACACACGCCATGGGCACATGGGGGAGGAGATGGAGACAGAAGGAACAAGAGGGAAATAGGTATCAATGAGGCCACGGTATCAAGCAAACATGGATGCCAGCTGAGGCCACGGTGGTGGGAGGAGACATACGCACAGGCACACGCACATGGGTAGTGCCCATGCCCACAGTCACTGACAGCCCGCAATCACTGAGGGCCCACGTGCATTGAGGGCATGTGCAAGCTAAAAAAAAACAGGGAGTGAGGGGATGAGAGGGGTAAGAGGGCTGCACTGGATTGAGATCCCACTAAAGGCTCCCGTGCAGTGAGAGCACGTGCAGTGAGTGAGGGCATGGGTGCAGAGGCTCACGTGTAGAAGGGGATGAAGAGGCGGCCTGAGAACATCCTCTTGGCGCTCCGCGTGCTCAGAACATCCACCGCCTCATACACGTCCCTCACTCTCCTCCCCCCCTCCCCTCCTCTGTACGCCTCCTTCACACTCCTATCCTCCTCCGTCTCCTTCCCACTACCACCATCCGTGCCCACCCCACTGCTGCTGACAGTGCTGCCAAATGCAGCAAGGCCGATGATTTCGAGAGCGAGAGAGGTGAAGGCAGCATACATGTCAATCTCACACACGCCGCTGCCACTGCCGCCGCCACTTTGGTTGCCGTCGCTGGTATGGTTGACTGCGTGAACCCACTGCCGCACTGCCCTGCGCGCTTGGTCATCCATTACTGTCACTGCGTGCTGTGGTGGGGTAGGGTGGTGTGTAAGCGGAGTGGGAACCGTGAGAGGGTGCATAGAGAGTGGGGAAGTCATTAGCCCATGTGGATTGTGTACTCACTGCCGCACTGCCCTTCGTGCTTGGTCGTCTATACTGTCAGTGCATGCTGTGGTGGGGTAGGGCGGGGTGGGTTGGGTAAGAGGAGAGGAAGCGGATGGAAACGGTGAAAGGAAGGGGATGGGATGGGAGGAGAGGAAAGGACTGGATAAGAGGAGAGAAAGGAGATGGGGTAAGAAGAGAGCACGGGGATGGGGTAAAAAGAGAGGAAGGGGTTGGGTTAAGAAGAGAGAAAGGAGATGGGGTACGAAGAAAGGGAAGGGGATGGGATAAGAGGAGAGCAAAGGAGGTGCCAGAGCCACTACTGCTGTCGCTGGTATGGATAATGTGCACTGTGCACCTTGCACCTGTTGTGGATCAAGTGGGGGTCAAGCACAGGACAGTGATGCACGTGGGGTGAACGCAGGGTTCGCTGTCCAACAGCCCAAGCGCGTCACCTTGCTGTAAGCGGGCTGAATGCAAAGCTGATAATCTTGCTTGCACGTTGATGCACGCGGGGCTTGTTGCGGATCAAGAGCGGCACCTTGATGCACGCGGGGTTCAACTCAACGCGGAGTTACCAGGTAGCTGGGCAGCAGGCCAAGCGCGTCACCTTGATGTAGGCAGGGCTGAACGCCGGGCTGATCATCTTGCGCTGCCGCGCCCAAAAGGCGCCCTCGGAGAACACCAGCCCGTTCGCCAGAAAGTCCACCGTGCGCCGCGAGTTCTGATCCTTCTGGAAGCACGAATTCTTTGACACCATAATCTGCGGTCGGAGAGGGAGAGGGGGGGAGGGGGGGGGGGGGGGGGGGGGGGGAGAGGGGGAGTGGAGAAGGGGGGTTTGGTGGAGAGAAGAAGAAGGGGAAACAGGACGTCCACCGTACCGTGCGCATGGCGTTCTGGTCCACCGTGGAAGGAGGAGTTCTTTGCCACCATGAGCGGCGCGGCAGTCAGAGTGTGCGTGCATTGTGGTGTTCATGGGGGGAGAGGGGGGAGAAGGGCAGACAGACGCTGATTATCCGGCTGGCGTTCTGATCCTTGTGGAAACACGAGTTTCTTGCCACCATGGCGTGCGTGCAGCCGTGGAGAGGGAGGAAGAGCGGAGGCGAGGGAATTGCAGGGAAGAAGGGGGAAGCGGGAAGGGGGGTTGCGAGGGTAGGGAAGAGTAGGAGGTCATGACACCAGCAGCACTGGATTGTAGCGCCCTAGGCAAGGACACATAACGAATGAGGTGGCTACACGTGTATATCGTTTTGTCAGCGTGTGCTCTCCCTCCCTCCTGCACGTCATGCTCGCTGTAAGCGTCCCGTCTTGCTTCACCCCCCCCCCCCAAGCTGCTCTAAACGCTCCTGAACATAGAACATTCTGACATGGGCGCATAAGGTATGTATGAGGTTCTTGAGTTGCCCATTGAAGGGCCGTGCCTGGTGCAAGAGGTCGGGCTCGGCAATGAAGATTGGCTGGAAGCCGCCGAAGGAGAGCCCGAAGACCGTCCCCAGCTCGCACCTCCACTTCCACACCAGCGGGCCCAGGCTTGCCGGACCTAGTGGCGCAGGCTCGGACGCCGGTATGGGCTTAGGCGCGCGGTTGACGAAATCTGGAAGCTGACCAACCAGAGGCCTGTGAGGAAGAGGCCGGAAGAGGAAGGAACAAGGGGAAGGAAAGGGGGGGGAAGAGGAAGGAATGGGAAAGGAAGGGCGGCTACAAAGAAAAGTAGATGGTGCGAGCATGCTGTGTTTCAGAGGCGTGGGACTGCTCGAGCGGCAGCTGCCTGCGCAACCTTTTTCGCTTCGCAAGTTGCGAACGGCGTGAATGATACGAACGCGCCAAACATTCCGAATGCATGCGAGCTATTCTGAAAATCTGTGTGGAAGGGGGAAGAGTGGAAAAATAATGTTTCGCGCATTGTTGGCGAAACCCGGTTGGCTACGGCAACGGCGCTAGCTAGTAGTTCTACCCCTAGGAAAGCAGAGGACGCCTTGCTCGTGCTGTCGGCGAATGTAGGAGTTTCAAATACCTGAATGGGAGAAAGGGAATGCCTTGCTTCGTGAAATGCCGGCGAAGGCGCAGCGGCTTGATGAGAATGACGTAGATGATGTAGCACAGTAGCGCGGCTACAGCGACGAGAAGCGCGATAGCGTTACTTGGAACCGAGTTACTAATAGTAACACTGCTGCCTTCGAACGGCATGACGGGTGGAGCCGGCGACAGCAGCGGGTCGGTGGTCATCTTGTGCGACGTGCGGGAATGCGAAAAGCGACTACACGAGGCGAGCGAGTCGACGAGGGGGCGAGCGAAAAGTTCACCTGGAGTGCACGCTCGAGCATGACGGTTCGGCTTAGGCTGCTACCGCAAGTCGGCAATCGTCGTTATTCCAGAGGTTTTCTTTGAATTTGACATATCACCAGCAGTTTCGACGCACACGATGCCTGTGGGAAAGCGTGCGAGAAAGAATGTGAGCGAGAGACTACTGTTCTCACCCCGCTAGCACGACAAAGACCGAGGAAAATATCTATGGCCTCTGCGGTTCGATATGAACTCCAACAGTCCTCAGCCGACAGCGTACAGCATGGGAAGACTAACTGAATCTAATAGAATATAGTACATCACGAGTGCTTTGCATGGTTGGTTGTGGCCAATCACCATAATCCCCATAGTACACCCTAGGGTGTACTGATAAATACCCCCTTTCAAGAGATGTTCGATTGTGGGGGTGAGAAGGGGGGGGCGGGAGAGAGGGGGAGGTGGAGTAAGCTTGCACTGTTATACATATGCATATTAATCTGTTAAGCTACAGTGGGGTGCACTTTAGAGTGTACAACCTTTTTAGTGTTGCATATTTGTATCTCGTCCTTGCTATTCATCATCATTCCGCTTGCACTACTCTTGACATGGTATCATAGTGTTGCATATTTGTATCTCTTAGCCCGATCGTTAGCCAGCCAGCCAGCCAGAGCCAGTCCACCAGCCAGCAGCCAGCCAGCCAGACAGCCAGCAGCTATCCAGCCGTCAGCATCATTGCGCTTGCTAGAACAGCACGCGTTAGCGAGCACACGTGCTAGCCAGAACGCTGACCAGCATTGTGTGCCATTCAACTGAGTGCGCCAACCAACCAGCGCGCACCACTCCACGAGCAGCGCGCGCTCCTGCCTGCAGCAGTGCACGCCCCTAGCCAGCAGCACGCGCCTTGTCAGTAGTAGCATGCGCCCCCTGCCAGCGTACGTACGCTCCCGCTTGCAGCATCGCGCGCCCCCTGCCAGCAGCGCGTGCTCCCGCCTGCAACACTCACACCCCACCAGCAGCAGCGCGCGTGCGCCTCGCCAGCCAGCCAGCGCGCACCTAGCTAGCGTGCACCCTGCCAACCAGCCTGCACCCCACTAGCAGCGCGCCCTGGTAGCCACCAAACCACCACCCCTCCACCAGTGCTGGCCGTCACATATCGTGCTATCTGTCAGCGACACTCCCAACCGCGGCTCGAAGACACATTACCTTCCCCAGACACCGTTTACGATTACAATCGAACATAATACATACCTGCGCTTCTTCCAGCCACTTCCCCGTGTCGGGAGTGCTGTAGTGCCGTACTGTGTCGGTGTCCTCCTTGTCCGCTCGAGGCTTGGTGACAAAGCCCGCAATGTGCTGGAATGCGCGGAGCAATTTCTTCACCAGCTGCCACATGCAGAGCCAACACGGGGTTAATGGTCTGCGCTATTTCTCCACCTGCAATGCTCCCGAGCCATTGGCCCTGTTTCCGGGCGGTAAACTTCTACTCACCAGCTCCGTATCTCGGTAATGCAGAAGCAGCGTGCACATCCTGCCTCTTGGGTCGTAGCACTTGATGTCCTTCGTCTTCCATGGGACCTGATCCCTTGGTGCCCTGTCGCGTCCAAAACGTCTCACGTCCACGAAATTCAGCCACCTGTCAGAATGAACAAGAGTGATTGAACTAATAAGATTGGGAGTACAAGTAGGAAACCCTAGAATGTTGTACCCCCTAAGGCTAAACCCACTATAGCCTACAGAATATAAACATATACAATGTTTGACACACCCCCTTAGGCTAAGTGGGAGACAACCAGATGGTCACAAGACCAGTCAAAGAAAAAAACCAAAGCAAAACAAGCTCAGGGTGGATCTCAAGGATACCACACAAATTCCGAGCACAAGCCAGCGGTCACAAGACCAGTTCACATGCAGTTTGATAATATAACAAGAGGTACAGTGATCACAACCTAGCAAGTGTAAGCATGCAGGTATATATATAGAGATCACAGTACAAGCAGAGTCAAGAAGTGAGCAAGTGAGGCACAGTAGGCACAAGGCCTAGAACAGTACAGAAACGCTGATGATCACAAGGCTGCAGCGCCTTGGTGAACACATCAGCAGTGTTGGCCCGAGTGGCCACGTAAGCAAGACGAAGCTGACCACGCTGCTGCAGCTCTCGAGTAAGGAAGTAGCGCAGAGCGATGTGCTTCGTTCTGTGCTCCAGTCTGTGCTCCTGACACAAGGCAATGGCGGCCATGTTAACAGCACTGGAGGAGAACGAGGCCGCTCTCCCAGGTCGGTCAGCAGGTAGGTGAGCCAGCGTAACTCCTGCGCAGCCATGGCTGTGGCGTAGATCTCAGCCTCACAACTGGAGCTGAGAACTGAAGACGAGCGTGTAGAACGCCAAGAAACTGAACCAGAGCCAAGGCTGAAGGTGTAACCCTGAGACGACCGCTGCGTAGCCTGGTCGTCAGCCCAAGAAGCGTCTGAGTGCCCAGTGAGGACAACTCGAGCCCGTCCTCCAAGCACAAGCCCCATGCCCGACGTACTGCACAAGTAGCGCAACACCCTCTTAGCGGCATCCATGTGCTCCTTCCGGTGACGGCCAGGAGCGACATAGCGTGCTAGGATGCTAAGAGGGTAAGCAAGGTCAGGTCGAGTGCAGGTCATCAGGTACATGAGGCAGCCCACAAGCTCTGGATACGGGCCACTCGGCTCTACGGACTCATCCGAAGGCAGAGCTGAGAGCGAGTGACCGGTAGGCAGAGGAGTGGGCTGAGGCGAGGAGTACGTGAAGCTGAAGCGCTGAAGGACCTGCTGCACCATGTGTGACTGAGTCAAGTTGATGGTGCACTGTGCTCTGTCCCGGGTGATCCGCAAGCCAAGATAGCTTGTCACCTCATCCAGATCTGTGCACGTGTGTCTCTTCTGTAGCTCCGACTTCACGTGGGCGAGTGCCTCAGTCTAAGCAGTAGCAAAGACCAAGTCGTCTACGTACACGAGAATGTAGAACGGCGGCAGAGTGGTGTCGGTGAGTAGAAACAGTGACGGGTCAGCAGTAGAAGGAGCAAACCCAAGAGCAGCAAGAGTAGTCCTCAGTGTGTCGTGCCACTCACGGGGTGCCTGGCGGAGACCGTAGACTGGCCGCCGGAGGCTCCACTGGGTACCTGCAGGAAACGACCTAGTGAAGCCAGGTGGGCGGCGCAGCCAGATCTCCTCGTGCAGGCTGCCCTGTAGGAACGCAGTGCTGAAGTCAAGAGAGTGGAGCTCGTAGTCACGCTGAGCGGCGACGTGCAGTAGAACCCGAAGAGTGGTCATCTTCGGGGTCGGGGAGAAGGTCTGGAAGAAGTCAACTCCCTCTCGCTGACTGAAGCCTCGTGCAACGTAACGCGCCTTGAAGACAGGCGGAGAACTCGGCGGCCGCTTCACCCTGAAAATCCACATGCCACTGACGATGTTCGCCCCAGGTGGGGGAACCTCGTCTACGTAGGTGCCTGTGGACTTCCAGGAAGCCATCTCTGCGTCCATGGCTGACTACCACTGAGAGGAGTAGGGACCCTCCATCGCCTCTGCGTAAGAGCGTGGGGTCGGGATGTCTGGTGCATCCGGGTCTCCCTCAGGGGCAATCAGCATGGGCACGAGATGAGGTAAAGCAGCGGCAAAGCACTCAAACTCCTCCTGTCTGTCCTCAAGGACGTCCGTGCCAAGAGCACACTCACCCCCGACGGACGGAGGACAGACAGACTCAGACTCAGCAACAAGGCTAGCGGCGTAGTCTAGACGACAGGCGGCAGCAAAGTCAACAAGCTCAGCGACTGGAGCAGACGCAGCAGAGGACTCAAAGGAAGGGTCAGTGACAACAGTGGCGAGGAGACGCGTGACAGTAGGACTGGCAGCACGAAGAGAGTCAGACTCCGGGTCAGCAAGATCAGGAAGAGAGGACGCTGGAGGAGACGGCAGAGGGACACGCTGTATAGCAGTGGAAGGACGCAGGGTCATATAGTGAGTGCCAAGTACAAGAGGAGGACGCTGACGCGGAGCACGACGACCAGCGCGGACAGCGCGGACAGGCGACTCTGGACGCGACTCAGATGACTCTGGACGAGACTCAGGCGACGGAGGACGAGACTCAGGCTCACGACGCTCCGTAAAACCTCCACTGGACAGGCGGTGGACTCAGTAGGGGAGGAGTAGGACCAGGAGAGGGCGGGAGGCCAAGAACCTGCTGAAGGAGCGGAACGTAGTACGGCCGCGGCCGCTCAGCACCTCCTGAACCAGCAGAGACAGCACCAGTACCCTCAGCCCCAGGGTCTCCAGCTACAACTCCCGCAGCACCACCAGCAACCCCAGTAGCTCCAGGACCTCCAGCACGAGCACCTCCAGAACCAGCGGCTCCAGCAGCTCCAGCACCAGCAGTACCTCCAGTAGCTCCAGCACCAGCAGCACCTCCAGTAGCTCCAGCAGCACCTCCAGCACCAGTAGCGTCTCCAGTAGCTCCAGCACCAGCAGCACCTCCAGCAGCACCACCAGCAGCTCCTGCGCCAGCAGCACCAGCACCTCCAGCACCTCCAGCATGAGCAGCGTCTCCAGCAGCTCCAGCACCAGCAGCACCTCCAGCAGCACCACCAGCAGCTCCTGCGCCAGCAGCACCAGCTCCAGGGTCCGCAGCACCAGCAGCGGCTCCAGCTCCAGGGTCCTCAGCACCAGCAGCAGCTCCAACTCCAGGGTCCTCAGCACCAGCAGCAGCTCCAACTCCAGGGTCCAAAGCACCAGCAGCGCCACTCCGGAGACTGCAGCGCCGAGCGTACCACTCTCAGAGCCGCTGGGGAGAGGGCGGCTCCCGCCTAGGCGGGGAACCACGAACACCAGCTCCAGCAGCACCCCTAACCCCAGAAGCGCCCCTCCTGAGGCTGCAGTACCGCGAGTACCACTCACGCTGCTGCTATGAAGAGGTAGTGCCTCCA